CAAATTTTGTACCCTTTCAAGACGTTACTTTGTCCACTTACTAAGACGACATATCTGTTTATAACATTTAGCGCCCTTCAAAACGGTGTCCCTTTCTTCCTCTTTGGTGCAATTTTACGTACGATTGGGATTAAAAGCTTTTGAAGAAAATTATTCCCCTCTTCCTCTTGCTTTTAGCCTTCGAGTAGTCAAAACAAAATATGGGAACACGAAAACGCCTTCCGTTGATTAAAAATCTTCAAATCAGAACTTTAGAATTACGATTTAACAAGCCTTTCCGTTAATCCAACTAGCTATTCAAATTCCAAACACTTCTGCCCATCAAATGCAGTCAGTTTCAACAGTGTGAAATGGTAAGTTACAGCACAAATTGATTGGTATAGAAAAATGAAAAAGAACAAAAATTTTTTGCACTCACCGCAGTTGTTTTGGCAGCGGGACGCTCCGATGGGCACGAAATCCCTCCTTCGACGTCTACCTCACCACATTTATCACTGTCTTGAGGATTTGGAAGACGTCGAGGAAAAGCAAGGACAGGAAGTGAGGTTAGACAGGCGATAACACCGAAGATGACCATGCCCAACCACCATGCACCGAGCCAGGATTGGCTGTAGGCGTCTAATTGGGAGGCGGATGGCGGCTGAATGGAGGGGGTATCGATGTAGATCTGTAGGAATGCGGCGCCTGCCATGAAGCCGAAGGCAGGACCTAGACCCGCACTGCTATATAGGAGACCTGGGACCGAGAAAAAAACCATTGACTGCGTTCAGATTAGGAGGGGAGGCTAGGTGGTAACTCAATCATGAAAGCTTTTTTACTATTCATGCTCAGGTAAGGGGCTGACTTGCTGAAGCAAGCACACACAAGGCAAGTGATCCTCGACTCAGAGTTTTACTATTAATAAACGCCTTCACTAGAGCATCTTTTGAGGCCAAAGAACTAATTTTGCCTGTCTTTGACCAATATTGACAAGGATTTCGGCAACCTGGGTAGTATTTGAGGCCTGAGTAATCATCTCTGGCGTCAAGGCATTGGATGGCCGTTTTAACTATCAAAAGTTTTTTGGGCACAAAGTGCAGAAATCAACTTTAATATTTACTTTTGCGATGCTAGGTAGGTTGTGCAGACATCAGATTGTAGAATAAGATTTAAACGTTGAATATGGTGAACTGTGAATAAACATTGTTATCATAGATGACGACACTGAGGGAGGAAAAATGATCCACGTCTTGAAAGAGAGCTGACCTCACGACAGAAAGTTTGCAATCACATTATGGCTACCTTATGACAGAAAAGTGAGTCTTCTCTTTGATTTAATTCACTTTTAATTTTCACATCCACTTTCATTCTCGGAAGCAATAATTTGCCTGGGAGAAGTCGTAACATAAAACACTTAAATATGACAAGTCACTACTCCTCCTCCTTTTCTTGCCCATCTGAAATAATTCACAAAGTCAAACATCAAACAATCTTCTCCCACTGA